GCCGCTGCTCTTGGAGACAAAGTCATCCTGCTTTCCAACTATACATACCAAAAAAACTCAATACTATATTCAATCAGGGAAAACTTGATATCCTAAACATATGATATGAAAAACTGAAACATCCGTATGCTGCCTGCCGCTCCACGGCGGCCAGGCGTACGCGCGGCGCCGGCAGCTTGACGAAGATGATCTCCTTGTTCACCTGCCCGCCCACCACCTGCCGCGTTGACGCCCGCACACATGGGCCTGCGAAGCTCACCCAAAGCTCGAAGAACTGCGTGTAGTCCAGGTCCTTCACCAGCGCCTCTTCGATCGTCGCACGTGCCGCGCGACAGCGCCCATCGCCGACGAAGACGAAGTCGCACGACCCTGCCAGCCCCTTCAAGAAGGCGCACTTCTGCGAAAACCGCTGTTTGACAGAGCCGCTCATCTCGACACCTGCGCCCAGCCCTGCTTCTCCTCATGCTCCAGGTCGGCCATGAGAAAGTAGCCGCGGTGCTTCTCGTTCAACTTCCCGTGGAAGTTGCCAGCTCCGCCTGCACCTGCACGGGCCAAGGCCGACTGCAACGCCTCCTTGGTGCACGCCTGTGGCAGCACCAACAACTGGCACAGGCCTTTTCTGAGCCCCCGCGCCTTTGCCAACACCTCCGCCCGCTCTCGGCGAGTAGTCTCCCTGACCTCCTCCAGGTCGTCGCCGGCGGCGCACTTTTGCATCAGCAGTGACAAGGGTGCCGACGCCAGCGAGTCCTCCTGGATCGAATCAACCGCCACCACGCCGGTGCTCAAGCCGGAAACCCCTCTGTCCAGGGTGTCCAGGGCCTCCCGCCAGTCCTTCAGCACGGGGTTGTCGCCTTCGCCTGCAAGGAGTTGCGCGACCAAGTCCTCTTTGTCATTGAAGGTTTTGAGGTCCGCGTCGTAGCCGCCGCCCAACAAGTTGCTGACGTAGGCGATGAAGTCGGCCGCGTAACCTGGCGGGACCGCGTCCTTGGAGGAAAACACAGCAGACCAGAGGCCGTCCTCTGAGACTTTCACAGACTCCGCCTCCGCTGCTTTCGCCAGCGCCTGCCTCGCCTTCCCCAAATCATTGATCTGCTGCAAGGCATTGCTCGCCCACGCCTCCTCCGAGGTGCTCAGCACGCCGCACACCTTCCCCAACACCGCCAGCTTGCAAAGCGACATCGCCACCCAGCCCACGCCAGCGCCGGCGCCTCTGCCGCCCTCGAAGAAGTCGGAGGTCGCGTCCTGCGCCTGCAGTTTCTCGCCGTCCACCTCAACAAGCAGGAGGTGCAGCAGCTGTTCCTGGGATGTGTATAAGCAGTGTATGCCGAATAAGGAGGAACTCAACATCTTGGCTTATTATAAAGACATAGACACATGGCATGTACAAAACTTTATACCAGTAGTGCCACCACCGGATCGATGGCTTCTGAGTTGTCCGCGCCAGCGCCTGCGCGTCGCATCACGTTGTGCAACTTGGAGTGGCCTTCCGTCAAGAACGCGCGCCCGGCCTTGCTTTCCAGCTCCTGCAACAACGCCTGCGCCTTGTCTGACAGCTGCGCAATCGCCAGAAGAGCGTAGTGCAACATTCGATACACCGGCTTCCCCATGAAGTTGAGGCCGATCGCCTTCCAGTGCTCCAGCTGCTTTCCGATTCCTTTCACCTTTGAGGATAAAAGCAACTCACACAGCATACATACCAATACTACATATAATCATATCAAAAATTAATTGAATAGGTAAATCATGCGTTGGTATATTAATATTGTTTTCCAATATGACAAATCACCCCACAATTCTCCACGATGATCTGGAACTTTTTTGCAAACGTGATGACGTTGTCATCCGCCACCGCCAGCACCTGCTTTTTCTTGTCTGTCGCCTGCCAGAGCATCAGCGCCAGCGCCTGCTTGCTCGTCCCCACATACAGCCGGATCGTGACTGTCAGTGCACACTCGTACAGAAGTCGGACGCGGTCCTGGTTCTCCGCCCTGAGGGCTTCGAACATCGCCAACCACCACGCCACCACCAGCGCGTGATTTTCCACCAGCGTCAGTGCCTTCGGCATGCAGTCGCCTTCGCCCGCGCCCGGCGGGTAGAGGACAGAAATGTCCTCCACCCAGGCACTCAAGGTTGCCGGAAACACCACCCGCGCCAGCTCCTGCGCCTCCTCAAAAAGAGGCTTCAACTCCTCCACCTGCGCCCATGTGCAATCTTGCACAGGCAGCACCTCCTGCGCCCGCGCCCCCGCCGGCACCCAAAACAGGCTCCCAGCGGCCTCGTACAAGCCGGAGGCCCGGGCCGCTGTGGCGCAGTTGCGCGGGCACCACTTCTCCTTGAAGGATGCAACGCCCCCGCCAGCGACATCCCTGTCCTTGATCGACAGCGGCTCAAGCTCAGCCAGCGCCGGCGCCTCATCGTAGAAGCCCATCTTCACCAGCGCTTCGGCCAGCTTGTACTCGACCTCACCAAATCAAAGCTACAAAAGAAATAAATACCCCGTGAGCTAAATTTAACAAGTCCAAACAAGCAACACACAACCTGTTTAACTTAAGAAAACATGAAAGCACTTGTATGTTTCATTATGTAAAGAATATATAATACACATACACATATATGAACATACATACATATACATACATACATACATGTACACATGTGTACATATGTGCACCTATAATACATAATCACAAAAAATCATATACTAGTATAGTAATATATTTATAGAAACACATCTGTATTCAGTTCAGGCACCCATGGCACCAGGTCCTGCACCACACGGGTCGCCTGCGCCTGGTGGCGATCGTTCCCAACCGGAAGGGTCGGCAGTGGTGGGATCGCTGGCACCTGCGGCCCCTTAGTCCTCTTTGCAGCCGGCACGACACCTGGCGCAAGCGCCGGCGCCGGTGTCTTCTTGGGCTCGACGACTTTGGGCGCCGGCGCCTTTGGTGTTGGTGCCTGCCCCTGCGCCTTCGCCTGCCCCGCCTTTGCCACCAACGCGTTGTTCGAGGAAAGCGCCATCACGATTAGAAGGATCGAAACAGTCAATGTACGAAAGCTCGAGAATGTGAACTCTGCACTGCATGCACAACGTGGGAGCAGCAGCTCTTTGGCAAAAATCAAGCAAACATCAAACAAGAACCCTTCGGAAACCCTGTCACAAGCAGCACTGCGCAGGATCGCAACCCTTGCACTGCAAAGGCGCCTCGCCTGCCCTGCTCGGCAGCGATATAATAAGGAACAGGAGCGACGCCTGTCCCACAACACATGTTCAAGCTCCAACACCTGAAACCCTCGTAGTCCTGCTGGCAGCAGTCGTAATCGATAAAGTAGCAGTGGCAGTAGGAATAGTAGTCTAGCAGTACTCGCCGTCCTAGTAGTAGTCGTAGTATACATATATATATATATAGTTCATACCAGCCATACCAGACATAGCAGCAAAATCAAACACTTCCCTTTTGTTGTGTAATTCAGTACTTCTGGTATGATTCACAATATAACCAGAGGCTTTTACACATTGCATACCATGAGATATTTTGTACATAACAAACGAAAAGTTGAATTTTAATTTCCCCAATTCAAAACCACACTACTCAACAGTTTTACAGCATGACTAATTGTAGTGGATTAATTCCTGTTGGAACAAACTGTTTACGTAGCCTTGTCTATATCAATTTAGAATCGTATATTAACCAAAACACGAACCATACCCAAAACCACGTTGACACCAAACATTAACATGTGTTGTGTAGTTCCATTCTTCTGGTATGATTCATAATAAAAGGCTCCTGATGCCGACACATTGCATACCACGATAAATCTCATACATACACAGGACAAACTTGTGATTACACGACTGGCAGTGCTATGTAGTTCCATACTTTTGGTATGATTCATCATTAAATTAAGGTTTTAAAGTCTACACGTTTCATACCATGATAAATTTGCAAAATTCTATTTTTAAACCCCACACCACTGACATTCCGGTTCGTTAAAATGTATGCATAAATTTTATCGCGGTATGAAACGTGTAGACTTTAAAACCTTAATGATGAATCATACCAGAAGTATGGAACTACATAGCACTGCCAGTCGGATAATCTCAAGTTTGTCGTGTGTATGTATGAAATTTATCATGGTATGCAATGTGTCGGCATCAGGAGCCTTTTATTACGAATCATACCAGAAGAATGCAACTACACAACACATGTTAATGTTTGGTGTCAACGTGGTTTTGGGTATGGTTCGTGTTTTGGTTAATATACGATTATAAATTGATATAGAAAAGGCTACGTAAACAGTTT